GGCCGGTATATTTCCTTACAATCAAATTCTATTCGCACGTCAACGGTGGCGCTCTTGACAGAGTCGTTTTGTCGCGAACAATCTATGACTACGAACGGACCGGCTTTCGAGAATTCATCGATGTCCAAATACGTATTATCGAATCCGTAATAAGCTTTGCGGAAACGCGCATACATGTTGTACAGTATAGCGTATCGATTTCTGTCGAAATCCAAGTTCATGTCGTCGTACGGATAAAAATCTGAATTCAGATGCAGTCTCACTTTGGTGAGTTTACAAGCGTCAAATTGCGTAGCGTTTTCAGACAGTACGTTTTTTCGACCGGTTTGGAGAGCAAAGATTACGTATCGCGGTTTTTCCAATTGCGTCGCGGCTTTGACCGCCCAGGAATGCTTCGTTGTATTCTGCAGCAGAGGAAATTCGTACAGATCCCACGAACGGAAGCACACGCTCAGATATCTTCCGCTTTCCAAAGTTCGAAGAAGAGACAGCTTGTTGACTTCGCTCAGAGATACGTGCGGCATTCGCCACTGTATCTTGAGTAGTTCGATCGTTGGATTCGCACCGACTCGTCCAACGAGACAATTGTTATCGTTGCGCGATCGTATCAATACAAGTTCGTGACGAGCGTTGATTACAATCCGTTTGTAGTCCTCGCAGAATCCTAAAAGAGTATTGAGCGAAACGCAAAAATTAAAGTTTCCATCGAGCAACGGATTTCCATCCGGATTCCACGATGCGTATTTCAGCGTCTTACTCTTCTCCGTCGTCAGCGATACATAGTTTTTGATCGTGCTCGTTATTCCAACGTTTCTGTTACGATCGATTTCAACTCCGTCGAGCTCGTATCGCATTTCATCAAACATGAACGCGACACAATTATTTCCCATTATACACACGTTATCTTTATTCTCATTGGCAGGAGTAACGAGTTTTCCTTCAATGTAGAGAAAACTCTCACACGGCAACGTGTACAAATCCTGTTGCTATATAGGTATTCGTATCTCGTCGCTGTGTCCCAACGTCGTGTTAGCGTACGGATTGTACGTGTGCATCTCATATTTCACAATACGCTCGTCGAAGACGGGCTCGTCAGCGATGTCGAGTATATCCATCTCTTTAATCGTTTCTCACAACGAATCCCAATGATTTTAAAAAGTTTACGTTCGTCGTACTGAGCCTCTTGAATGGCGATGTTTTCTCAATTTTCGTTGTTCTCTCAATCACTCGCTGTTCGTTCAACACGAGCATTTCCTCGCACCACGTAGTCGCAAGTGCAGTCTGATGGTAATTTCCTCTCCGCGAAAATCAATCAATCGTCCGTCTTGATCCACCACGCGCAAAGTGATATCGGTAACGCTCCTCGCGATGACCGGAAGGTAAATGATTTGCGCCGGTGTTTCCGAGACTTTATATCCCGGAGGCACGTTCGGTGAAAATTCGTGTATCGTGTGCACCAACCTGTCGTTGGCGTACGCACACGCGGTAATGCTGCATTCCACTCGAATAATGTTTACGTTGATGATGTTACCGAGGAGTCTGATTCGTGCAACTTTCTCGGTTCCAATATACGATCCGTCGAAAATCCAAACAGCGGTCCGATGGTACTCGGTTTGGCGAAATTTATTCGAAAGCGCACATGATTTCACTCTTCATGGTATTAACGTTGGGACGAAGTGACAATGGATAATCTTGCTCTTCACTTTTTCCTCGTTTTTGCAGTATCGCGCGTTTCAGATAAGAAGCAATGGCGTCCAATTCGTACGATCCTTCAGGAATTGTAATTTCTTCGTCATTGTCATCGAAATAAAATTTATTGTTCGCTACTGTCACGTTCGGAATCGTGTTGTAGGTCTCCATCGTGGTTAGACCGAGCTCGTAGTCCCCATCGCTCAAGTCTATCGGTAGAAAATAATCCACCGTGAGAACGCTGCTTTTACCGCTTAGAGTGAGCGTCAGCGACATTGCCGAGATTCTATCGACGACTGATGTCGATCGATAGCGGATCGATTTTTATATCTATTTTCTGGAGGAACAGGAGGCACAATTGTCCGCAGATCGTTTGATCGTACGTCTGGTAGACTGTGCGATTGTACGTTATCGTTGTATCGGTGCCTCCGAGGTAGCGTGTAATCTCATTCGGCGGTTGCAAATTGCCAAAGCTGTCAAAGTATACGGCGCAATCGCCTCTCTTGGCGTACGCCACCCAATGCGTGCCCGGCCCGTCGACATCGTCCAAATTCACGATACCGCTCTCATTTTTATGTATCTTGTCGGGTAAAGCGTTACGCATGTAGACACCTCGGAAATACGGTATTCGCATACGCTTCGCCAATGCGAACAACTGTAAATTGGTGGTGGCACCCGCGGGCATCTCTATCGTTTTTTCGACGTTTTTTTTTCTCTTCAATCCTTTGCCCCGCTTGTACGGAGCGAGATAAATCCCCCGTCCTTCCATTGCTTTATTGTGACGTTTCGTCTCTTCGAGTTGTCGTCGCGCAGCCTTAGAGTCATTCACCGCCTTCGCAACACCCGCCGCTCCACCGGCAAGCGAACCGATGACTCCCAAGAGCGGTAACAACGGTAACATACCACCGCGTTTCGCCGCCGGAAGCGTTCTCCTCTTGGTCTTCTTCTTCTTTCTCTTTGTCATACCCATCCCCAATTTCGTCTTTGCTTTCATAGCAGCCCATACGGCGGTAGCAGCGGCCCTCTCACCGAGAGTCGCGTCCGCAGCGGTGATCCGTTCCCGCGCTTTATCGGCGAGAACGCGATCGGCAGCGTGGCGGTCCGCTGATTCGCGGTTTTGCAAGTACGCGATGTCGTGATCGCGGCACGCCGCGTCCAACGGATTGATACCTTGATCCCCTCGCGCGAGTCGTTTCCGCAGACGAGTCCCCGGCCCGCAAAATTGGTAGCCGGGTATATGCAGCTCCAACGGTAGTCGATTTATCACACTGTTTAGTAAACCGGCACCCTTGTATCGTTTCATAGAGCGTGAATTCTAACGTATCGCGTGTAAATCATATTTCCAACTGAAGTGTGTTTCGACAGCGCTCACCTATAAATAGGAGGCGCGTATCGATCATTAACTAGTAGAATATCAAAGTTTGTCGGACGACGAAGTACAATGAATAACCGGGATAATAATAAGGAACGGAAGGAGGTGAATGTCGCAAACGTGTATTGCTAATCGTGTGTTTGAAACAATATTTTTTTTTTTAGGATAATGTCCGAATCATGTATGGAAATAGAGATATTTTAGATCTAGCAACAAATATCCGAGCACCGCTCTTTCCAACAACCGATGCTGCGCACTCGTCGCGTAATAACAAGGATGAGAAAGAGTCTGGTAAAAAATAAAATTTTTACAATCGTACACGATCCGTGTAAAAAACATGGATGATAAGACGCAAGGGGTTTGTGAGAAGACGTGCAGACATGGTAAAATGTTGCCAAACACTATACGCGGTATCATTTGCGGTCCTTCGAATTGCGGTAAAACCAATGTAATAATTAGTCTGCTGGAAAGTCCGAACGGTGTACGTTTCGAAAACGTGTACGTGTACTCGAAATCGTTGAATCAATCAAAGTATCGGTATCTCGAAAGATTGCTCGGATCGATCGATGGAATCGGCTACTTTACATTCTCGGACAACAACACCTAAC